GCCAAAGACATCTCAGGATGCCGGCCAAGCGTCAACGGGAAGCTTCCCTCAGGGGAAGGTACCCACCTTAGACGCAGCAGCTCTCCAAAAGCTTATTCGTGAAAATGAGCTTCAGGCAGAGCGGGAGCGGAAAGCCACATCCTCCGAGGGGGACACCAAGTATGCGTACCAGTCTGGGGACACCGTCCACGGCAAGGTTGATGCGCACAAGTCCCAGCAGCAGGAAGAGCTTAACGAGGTTCTCCGCAAGGCAAGGACCAATCCATGGCACCTCTTTGCCCATGGCAAGTTGCACATGGTGGATTCTTCTGGCCAGCCGATGCTTAGCACCTATGGAGATGCCCTTGTTCAGGTCACCCCCTGGCATACCTTGACTACTTCGATGAGGGAGTCTTTGGGTGGCGAATACGACTGGGCATCCTGGTTGCAGCATCCTCTGTCGGGGTATTCCCTGCACTTCTTCTTGAAGGCATTCGAGATGGGCAAGGTGCAGGGGAACTACCTCGTCGAGCTGGACAAGAAGCCAAAGGTTTATTCCAATGGCTATTCGTCACCATGGGTGAACATGAAGCGTCATCCTGGAGGCCTTGCCACGATGTTGGAGGACGTCACCGTCGCCGCACAGAATGAGTTCCGACCCACCGTCGGCCACATTGGTTTCGATCGCCCTCGTGACTCTGATCCTCGTGCAAAGATGCCCAAGACGGAGGATCCTGATTACTCTCGCAAGCTCGAGGCACACAAGGCTTTCCTCAGGGAAAGGTATGTGTACGACGAGGTCTTCAATGTGCGAGAGGATTTTCAGATGCTCGTCCGCGTCATCAATGAGGCATACGGAGTGGACTTCTTCTCCTACATCCAGCGCCACGCCAGTGATCTGGAGGTTCGCCGGAAATACACGGTGCGAACCCCTGAGGGCTATTGTCTCTACGACAGTACCCTTAAGCAGCCGTTCAGCGGCAGCTACCTTCTGGCGGTTCTGGAGAAAGTCTTCGCAGAATCTGAGCACCGAGATTTCAAATCTGCTTTTGCACGCAAAGCCAAAGCGGATTTGGTGGCTTACGAGGACTTGAAGGCGAAGAAGGAGTCCGAGCTGAATGAGCTCCTCACCCGACCATATGAAGACATTATGATCGAGGCGTTCATCGAGCGACTCCCATGTCCACGGATCGAGGAGATCGAGGAGCCTTCCGCGGCTACTCAGATGGACACCTCCGAGCCGTCGGCTGTATCCACGGACTTGCCACAGGGCAAGAAGGTTGATCCGGTTAAGACCGAGCCGACCGATGTGCCAATGAAGCTCCAGAAAGCTCTCCACAGGGAGAGGCATCTGGGGTGGATGTCCCACAGCAGAAGACCGAAGCCACGGAAGGCTCTCCACAGGGAGAGGAATCCGAGGTTAAGGTTGAATCTGATGAGCACATGGGTCAAGAACGGTTTAGGGTTTAGGGTTTAGGGTTTAGGGTTTAGGGTTTAGGGTTTAGGGAGGTAAGACCGAGAACAGTGAGATGGCTGAGGAAAGCTCACCACAGGGTGAGGAATCCATGCCAGACATTTCTCCCGAGAAGGATGATGAAAGTGAACTTCACGATCAAGGCATCTGGGGGAAATGCAAGACTGTTCCGGACCCTGAGTACTACCAGGCCGCGAAGGATGCAGAGGACCAGAACGAGAACGCGTTCGAAGAGATGGGCAAAGCCAAGGAAAAGATTGAGCTCAAGGACACCGAAGAGTTCAAACGTTTCCTCTCGGAGCTCACCGAGATCGAACGACAAAGCCCTATGCGGCTGCTCACCAAGCAGCTAAATGGATATGGCTATTCAGGCTTGTATCATACAGGACTGCGTGATCCTGATTACGAGCCCGTTCTCGCTTTCAAGGTGCAGCACATGAGTTGGAGGGTAAATGTTCCGCCTCACAAGGGACAGAAATACACCCTCTCCATGGGGGACCTCTTCGATCAACTCAACAGGATGTCTCCCATCTATGAGCGTCGTCCCGACAAGCAGGACGTGGTCTTTCGTTCTGGGGACGTCCGCAGCACCTTGGATGACGAGCTCATGGGTAAGGCCTCTGACATCCGAGAAAAAGCTCTTGATGTTATGGAAGCACTTCTGGAAAAGCTGAAGTCCCTCGATGCAAGCGGCAATCCGGCAACTCGAGAAGAGCTTTTGAATGCTATGCTTCATTACTTCTTGAACACCGGAGTTGATGAAGAGGAGATCGGGGACCTCTCTCTTGAGAAGATGCCGAATCCTTATATTCATCGTTTTGGTCTGGCAGAGGACTCTAAGATTCCCATCTTCACCAGCAAGACCAAGTACGCCGCGCTCATCGTCAATCTCGGCAACATGAGCAGGGGAAGGAAGCGTTCTGCTCCTACCTCCGTTGCTAGTCACATTGACTGGGACGATGCTACACCATCTCGTGGAGCCCTGATAAAATCGATTGCACAGTCGAAGACGCATTTGTTCATGCTATGCGAAGCGGCTAAGATCGATGACTCCGAGGAAGCTCTCCTCACGTCGCGCGGTTGGCAATTCCTGCGCGACGAGTCCAAGGATCTGATGGTGGGGAGTCGTACCAATGGTGTTGGATCTTCGATCACCCGTTTGGCCGGCTCCACTCTCAGTGGATTCGCACACGAATCTCTTCCTTTGACCTATATGGTCGTCGAGATCGTGTATGGAATGACAGTTCCAACTGGCATTCAGGGCAACCGAGGCGACTTTCCAGATGAGGCATTGACCAAGGTTCTGGAGCGTGCCGGCTCCGACCGTATAAGGGTCTGTTGCTTCCACCTCCGAAACGACGTGGCGGCAGACAAGGTGGCGTTGGCTCACGAAGCGTTGGGCAACATGTTCATTGACTGCCTGCGCTATCAGGTCGACCTCATCGGTGGCGACGCCAACATGGCCCTCTGCCGGGCCACGGGCAGAAAGCAGGAGTCAATCGACATTCGTGGCGGAATGTACCAGAGCCTTCTCGACTACTTCCTGGAGGCCTGGTCAGAAAGCCCGAAATGTCCACACCTCTGCTCGCCTCGTGCGAGACACGTGTCAGCAAACGCCATGTGGCTTCTGAAGCAGTATGAGGACACGCTGGGGATGCCGTACAAGGACATCAAGCAGCCGGACTGGAATACTTTTCCTGGTCTGGACCCTGTTATGGCGACAGTCATGGAATGGGGACACAGCATGTCGGACAACCAATGGGCTGAATTTCCAGCTTCAAAGACCGAGTTCGACATCCATGTCTCCGAGTGGCTGTTGAATTCCACCAGCGCCGCGTACCTTCTCAACGATCGGGACTATGACGCTCACACTCCGCTCCTCATCGAGGTTCACGCGAACCAGTACTATGGACAACCGCAATCCCGACACCGTGAAGGAAGCCGCGGACAGGAGAAAAGAGAGACAGAAGCTGAACAAGGCCCGTGGTTCTGGTTCTACTGGTCCTGCAGCCGCACCACAGGGAGCAAGCTCTTCTCAGGAAGAGGCAGCTTCTGGTGCTCAAGCTTCTGGTTCTCAACGTCCTCAAGAACCCGCACAATCTCCTGGTGGCAAAGAAGGCGGCAAAGGAGGCAAGTCCTCCAAAGGACAAGGACGCCGACAAGGGCAAGTCCAAAGGCAAATCCAAGGACAAGTCCAAGGGCAAGAACAAGGGGAAAAACTGACTAGGTTCCGATTCTTCGGACGTGGATATGGACAATGGTTCTGACGAAGTTCTTTTGGAACAAGATGAAGACGTTACTCCAGATCCACAGATATCGCTACCTAGGTCCCCTGCTGATCCCCGCGGTTACGACCCTGTTCGTCATCAGCCGGTGATGCCGATCCATACCGTCGACATCTACCGTTGGCATGGTGCTAATCATTGGCGTGATAGAACCTGGGATCGAGACTTAGAGTTCGTCGACTGAACTGGCTGAGTGTTTCACGGAAAGCTTCTTTCAGAAGAAGGTATCCACTCTGAACATTCGTCATTTCATAGATGCTTTTCTCAGGAAAAGGGACTTCCTAAAGAACTCTTTCTCAAAGGAAGATATTTATCTCAGGATAAGATACTTCTAATGCCCTTATACATTTGCCGTGCCGCAAGATGTCATGCTGGCATCAAGTGGAGCTAAGCTCTACAAACTTTTATGTTACAGTATGCTTTCCACCTGGAGAGGGAACTGAAACACAAGTGGGCAACTTTCAAGCAAAAGTTTCCAGTTGAAGATCCGTTTGCGTTTCGTGCGTGTTCTGCTCTTTTCGGTGAAGCTGTCTTCAGGTGAGAGAATGTATAGTTTCTCTTCAAGTCGCAGATGTAGCTCAATACTCCGCTAATTCGACCGAGAGCAATACCAGGCTAGTAGAATGCCGACTCCACGGCCATGCAGCTCTACGTGTTTTAAATTTGTGCCTGGTTGAAACACTGAATGTTACACATCCAGGTGCCTGTCTGTCTCACATATCACTTGCATGTATCCATGCCTGTTGCTCAAGGTTCTAGTGCAGTGGACTACAGCTGTGCGCCTGTAGCAAAAGAGACACCTGAGTGCCTGTGTTCCTGTACGCCTAGCGAGGGGATACACGTCCAGGTTACATCTCAAGGGGGGGGGTGGGGGCCCGGGACCCGAGAGCATGTATGCCATCCCTTGTGTCTGGCATACATAGTACCAAAACCTTCATCTCATTGTCATAGCCGTCTCTTGGCTACAAGTTTTGTGTTTCTGGTCAATTTAGAGTCAAGGTTCTCATAAGTGACTTGCTTGAAGTGAACTTGCAAGTCAATGGCAAAAGGGCAAAGCCAAAAGCACCAAACGAACAAGTTGATTTCCGCAAGTGACTTGCGACCTGGTGACACATCGTGTCGAGTCTCGAGTGTGTGTCGCTTGTCCTTTGTGGGTTAGTCGTCAGAATCTTGCGTCACACGTGAGTCCAACACTGTTGTCGGGCTCTGCGAGTGTGGATCAGTACTCGATGGTCGATGCGTTTTGAGAGGAGCCTTTGGCCATGTGGGTCCCGGATTCGTCGATGGCCTCGGAGATCAACGCCACGGGCTTCGACGAGGCGAACTTCCCCGGCCTAAGGCTACCGAAGAACCTCAGAGCCACGGCCGACGCCGCGGAGGTGCGGGTAGGGAGCGCAGTGGTGCAAAACGGAATGTGCTTCGGTGAGACTCTGAGACTTTGAGAGCTGTGGTGTTAGGCCGCTGCGGGAGCCGATTTGTTGATTTTGGTGGTCGCACGGGAGAACATGGCGGAGGTCGTCGAGCAGCTCAAGGGGAAGGTCAAAAGGACAGCCACTGCCGTTGCGGCTCAAGCTCAACATGTTATTAGATGTCAATGGTGCAGCGATGTCTGCTGATCTCCAGTGGCGGTGGTTCCCTGGCAGTTTTGCGCGGCACCGAGGTGATGTCGAAAATCCTCATGCCGGAACCGCTTTCGAAGGAGGGGGGTGACAAGGGCTCTGGGCTCCGCTTCGGGAGCGAGTTCGTGAGCCAAGCACTGGGTGCCTCTGCGGCGCAGACCTGAGGCACGTATCAGTTCCTCTGCGAAGCGCGAAGATGCCGAGGCATTCCTACAGCCGTGCTGATGGGTGGGACGCTGGCTGCAGATGTTGCTCGTGGGAAACTGGGCCGTCTTAGTTCTGAAGGGGAGTGATCGGCGAATCTGGACGATTCGCCGCTCTCAGGTACTTTGCGGAGGCCACCCTCGGCTGCAAGGACCCCAAGGCCAGGCACCACGGAAAACGACCACACGTGCATCCGGGCCTGGGCTCGGCATTAGAGCCATAGCGGAGTCTTTGTGATTTCGGACGTTAAGAAAGGCTCCGCTTTGATGTGCGGTGGGCCAAGGGTGAAACTTTCCGCTGCTTGGAGCCGTGTGAGAGCATGGGAGTGGTCCCAAAGTCTCTTGCAGCCAGCGTGGCTCAGCGCGGCTGTTTCGCGTGGGCCAAAACATGTGGTGGAACCGAACCGCCGTGGAAGCACAGCTTGTGATTTTGAAGCCCGAAGATGAAGATATATGATGCAGGGCAGGGTATGGGTGTTCAATAGTTTTGTCGATCTTGCGATGCGTCTGGTCAGGTGAGCGAGGTCTTGCTCGAGCTTTTCAACAAGCCGAATTTCTCGGCACTTTGGCAGAAAGCTGCCGTGTGCAGCTGTACATAACGCGAACTGCAAGCATCAGCTCAGCTCCAATCAATCCAAACATTATTCATCATTCCGTGTTACTGTTTGGCTGTACGTGCACCATCGCGTCTCTTTATCTGCCCAATGATGGGTTTAAGGTCAGCAGCCTACCCAGCCCAACGGCTTCTTGGCAGATTGCGACTCTGGAGGAAGTTTCGCCGCGAAACCGAAACGCCTCAGAGCAAGGCCGTGGAGCTGTTCGCGGTCTTGAAGGCCATCATTGCCGTAGGCGCAGGCTGGGCCGGCGCCCATTCCGGCATGCCGCCATGCCTTCTATGGCTTCTGGGAAGCTTTGTCTCTCTCAGGGTTCTGCGACGGCCTCGAATTGGGTCACAACTCCAAGGCCGCTGTCATCCGTCCCCCGGCCACAAGTTCTAAAGGGGTGGTCGACATCCTTTGGAGATGAGGCCTTGGTGCAGTGGAACTGGCAAAGTTTGCCAGCCGATTCTACCCAGAGGAGGCATCAAAGGCGCGGGACACGGCCCCGGGAGCATGGGAAGATGTATGGCCTGAGCATGCGCTGACAGGAAGCCCTTACGGAAGCGTGCGGCATAACCGCTTCGGGGCTGCAACATGGGTAGGCACGGGAACTAATGTGATGATGTATAGGCGAGAGATCTCATGCATTGAGGACATCATCGCATCCAGCTATGGGGACTCGCGGACGAGGTGTGCGCGGCTGCTGGGAGGGGCTGGTGTATGCTGGTGCGGTGCGCTGCGGTGCTTGCCTTGCCTTGCTCGAGGCGCTGTGCGGAGGCCTTCGCCCGGGAGCCGCAGAAGGGCTGGGACCAGGACGGACATGGAGGGCCTAGCAGCCTAGCATTCCCAGCACAAGCAAGAGCCTATCAGCTGGCAGCGAAGGCAGCTTGTAAGGTCGTAGAAGACTCTTGGTAAGAGAAGGAATCGCAGTGCGGGTTAGAAAAAGCGGCAGGTCGCCCGAGAGAAGCTGCGGAGTGGGGAGCCAGCGGGCATCGCCGTGCTGCGGACCTGCGCAGCCTTCGTCAGGTCGCATCGTGCTGAAAGCGACTTCCCGTTCCTGGCGCGCGTGGACAAGATCTGTGCTTCGAAGGCAGCGCCAGAATCGCTGACGGAGATGGCGATTCCAAGGGTTCGCGCTTCGAAAGCCCTGAAGGCCAGGGCCCAAACTGGGCCCGCCTTGTGTGTTTAGCTGCTATGGAACAGATATGTAGCTCTCACAGAAGTCTCCTCCAGGTGGCTGTGCTTGGCTCCGGCAACTGGGGCTGCGCTATTGCCAAGATCATCGCTCGCAACGCGCTGAGGCGTACCGAGTTCCAGAAAGATGTGGCCATGTGGGTTTACGAAGAAGCTTGCCTCTTAATTATACGTTAGTGAATTGCTCCATGTGTGCTCTGACCGGTGCTATGGGCTAGGACTTGCAGTGCTTCATGCTGCAGATGACTCTAGATGTGATAAGGAAAGTGTCGACGGCCGCAAGCTCACTGACATTATCAACGAAGAGCACGAGAACGTGAAATACCTTCCAGGAATTGAGCTGCCGCACAACCTGCCACCCGCAAGCAGATGCCGAGTCCGAGCCGAGTCCTCAGGCGGCCGCTCAGCCGAGGCATGCCGAGTCCGATGTAAAGGCTTGTGTCCGGGACGCTCACATTCTGGTCTTCGTACTGCCGCATCAATTCTTGCCTGGATTGCTGAAGTCCATCAAGGGTGCAGTGCTCGCGGATGCTGTGGGCGTCTCATTGGTCAAAGGCAGCCTGCCGCGCGCTTCCATCAAGCATCAAGCGGCCATCCGAAGCGCCCACAAAGCCCTCACAAAGTCGTTCTAAGAGCCCTCAAGGACGATCACAAGCCCCGACAAATCAAAGCTTTCAGAGACCGTTTGCGAAGATCCCGAGATTGGAGTTTAAATTCAAGATCGAGGAATCGAGGTGCTGTGTTGTCCTGACGCAGGCTACCTGGAGATCGATCGAAAAACGGGTTCGTTGACCACCGGAACGCAACTCATTGAGGCTGAGCTTGGTATTCCCTGCGCTGTTTTAAACGGTGCCAATGTGGCCACCGATGTGGCCCACGACCATTTTGCAGAGGCCCGAAGATTGACAGTGCTCAAGCGTCATTGAACTGTGGTGTACAGTACCGGCGTAGTGTGCTTCGAGGCCACCCTTGGCTGCACAAGTGACCAGTCCCAGGCGACAGTTTTTCACAGGATGCGAAGGGAGCTGACTTCACAGAACCTATGGCAGAGTAGCCCTGTGCATGGCTGAGTTAAAGTCGTTTTAGAAGGTCCTTTGGAACCTGCTCAACACGCCGCAGTTCAGCGTGCGCACCACTCCTGACATCTTGGGGGTGGAGCTCTTTGGGGGTCTGAAGAATGTGGTCGCCCTGGCTGCAGGCTTTTCCGAACCTTGGGATTCTAATTCAGCGCTTGCCAAGCCTTGTGGCGGGCGGCGGGCGGAGAGTAGAGTAGAGAGTCAGGATGGGCTCGGCTTCCCGCCCAACACCAAAGCCGCTATCCTGCGGCGCGGACTGCAAGAAATGGCGAGGCTCATCAAGGACAGACCCGTGGGCCCGTGGGCCTTGGGTCGTGTCAGGTTCAAAATCGTGGGGAGAAGATGGTAGAAGCATCATACACTAGTAGCTGCCAGGACATATGCGGCACAGGGTACTCGATGGGTACTCGTATGCTTCGGTGAGCAACGGATCGCACTTACAACCAATTTTTGCCCAGCAACACGGCACAGCGACCTGAGAAGCTTCCTGAGCTGTACACACGATACAAAGCTATGCTAGTTGTGACATGGATCGAACCCAACCGCGCCAGCGCTCCAGCCAACATGGCTTAACGCACATCGGCAATTTCTGTGTGGAGCCCTGCGCCCTGCCTCGCACAGACGCACTGGAGCACTGGAGCACAGTCCAGCACAGCGCTTCGCATTCTCCGTGCACTTGAAAGTTGACGCGCTGAAGTGTGTTTCCCGAGAGCACTAGAGAGACCGCTCTTGCAGTGAGTTTGAACTGCATGGGCAGGAGCTCTATCCCAGCTCCTCGCCAGACACGCTGCTGGAGAGCTGCGGCCTCGCTGATTTGCTGACCACTTCCTACAGCGGTCGAAACCGTATGTGTGCCCGTCGGCCGCAGCGACACACGTTAGCAGAGCACGTGCGAGATATTGCGAGATTATTCTGCGAGCTGCTGCATCCGGCATCCGAGCATCTCAGGCCGAGGCTTTTGCGGTGGATTCGACGAAGACGTGGGAAGACATCGAGGCCGAGCTCCTCGCTGGGCAGAAGCTCCAGGGGCCGAGCACCTGCGCGGACGTCCCTTGGAGGCAGTGGCTCCGTGGCTCCGTTTGAGCGCAGCACTGGCACTGAGCGGCTCTGTCTGAGGTGTTTGCAATGATCGAGAAGCGGGGTCTTGAGAAGAAGTTTCCGCTCTTCACCGCGATCCAGCGTGCAGTGACTAAAGAGATCACCCCGGAGGGTGTTTTCAAGTGCATTGGGCTAGTGTCTGCCACTTGAGATTAGCTCCGACGGGTAGAGACGAGACTGGTACAAGTAGACTTAGCTTGTCTGCCATTTGCCGGCAATCTCTTCTACAGAGTTTTCCACATGCTCAAAGGGGCAAAATTAGATGCACGACCAGGGGCACAGCTTGCTGCACGGCCAGTGACAGCTGGCCCCATGGCCAAATCTGGCCCCGAATCGATTCGATGCGGCAATAAAAACTGTCAGAAATCTTGGAACCAAGTCCCAGTCGTCGAAACAGGGCCACCGAGCCAAGGGCCTCTCGAAGTACCACGACCAGAACCCCTACGCCTTCGGTGATGGGCCCCCGCTACGCTATGCTCCTGCTGAGGCGAGGGGACGGGGAACTCCTCACCTCGTATGGCCTGCAGTGCTCATCGGAAGGCCACGGTGATCATCATGGGCGGCAACTCCAACTGGAGAGGTCCCGTTTGGTGCTTCACCCAGGCAAACCAAGCTATAGTCCACTGTTAATCCTCCTAACAAGTGTCAGGTTTCCGATCAACTACCTCCTTATCGAGTCCCTGCAGAAGTCCTGGCCCTGCTGAGGGCCAAACGCTGGCCTCGCTTTGGCCGCCAGCCTGGTTTGCAATTGCTCCGAAGGTTCCACCAATACTACGGGGACGATTATCTTGTCGAGTGCCCCACTGGCTCCGGCAACAAGGCCAGCAGACTCTTGCTCTCCCGAAAGAAAGCCACAAGCCGCTGTTTCCAGATGAGCATCTTGAAGATTGCTGACGAGCTGTCCGAGCGGCTCATCAAGATCTTCTTGAAAGCCGAGGATGTACTGTTCACACTTGTAGTCGCCTACACTGTATGACAGCATGGCTTTGTCACTTGAAGTCTCCGTGGCACCAGCTGGCCCCGCCATGCAGGACGGCCATCGGCCAGGCATGCGGCTGCATCCGAAGATGAAGGAGGAGCACTTCGACCAAAACCTTCTTTTCTATGAGTGCCCCGGAAACCCACAAGCCAATACCATACGTGCTGCCCTGCTGCACTCGGCCCCTTTGCCCCATTGGAGGTACTTCCATGGAGACAACGGTCGTGGCGTGGGATCCTCGCATCAGACGGGCTGGACTGGGCTCATCGCGAAGCTGCCCGGCACCCGGGGTGTGAACGGCCGGCTGCGTTCTGCGTGCCTTCTGGCTCCTTACATCTTACGTCCTTTTGCGAGGATCCAGGCCCGCGGCCGCGAGGATGCGCACGAGAGCTAGCAGCTAGCCATGCAGGTCTTTGGTGTTGATATTTGACAATGGCCGTACGGCCACTTTTAATGCCAGGTAGACAGCCCTCGTACTAGCGCGGCGAAAAAGCCAGAGCCCTGTATACAGGCGCCGGTGCACGAGCGCAAACCCTGCGCTCATCGATTGAAGTTTTGAAGTGGTCGGCCTGCAACGGGCACGACCTGCCAAAGACGAGAGAAGCGCGGATCGTTGGCGAATTCACAGGTATGTTTGACAGCTCACTTCCAGCAACATGCATTGCTTGATGCTGTCACACTTCGGAAGCTTCATGTACCTACGTTGTGGCCGGGTCGTGAGAATGAGATTGAATGGACTGGAAAGCTACCGCATCCCACACGCAGTGTCGTCGCATAGCGCAAGGCTGCTTCACGATGCACAAGGCTTTCTCACACATGACACACTCGCAATTCAAGAAGTGGCACAACCGGCCGCTGGAACTAGGTTGAGCCGTCTAGAGGCCCTGGCATGCTCACAAATGATCAGCTAGCCTCCTGTTCTATTCCCGACCAACCCTTTCCGACGCAATGCCGTTGGACCCGGCGCTCAAGCAGCTGCAGATCAAGGATGGCCGATGGCTGTCGTGGTTTGGGTCTTGTTGCTCCACTTTGACGACAGGTTGGTGCGGCGAAGCGTACCAAGAAGGCGCATCATAGAGGGCAGAGAGTTGTTCCTATTGCGAGCATTTCGGCTCCAGGAGTACGAAGCCTATGTCAAGGAGGAGGCCAATCTGCGGTTTCGGTTTTGTTTGGTTGCTTGGCTGTCATCGGCTATGTATTGGCGGCTCAAGCAAGGTGCGCTGCAAGTAGGAAAGCCAATCCGGCCCACGAGTGCTACGAGATGCGGGCCGGGATCATGTCGCAGAGGAACTTCGACGTGCCACTTGACGCTATCACTCGCCTGCATCTCAAGCTTTGAATGGATGGTGTGCAGAAAGCACGTCATGTTTTTGTCGAATATGATCATGTCTATTCCGTGTTCGCTCCCTTTGTCTCCCTGCTCCTTTCCATGCCTCACGTTGGCCCGAGAAACTGGGTCCCCATCTCGTCCCGGTCCCGCGAAGACGATATTCCGGAGACGATGACGAAATTGTCCGCCCCTTCGACTCTGAAGACGAACTTGCGTTTCCCAAGGAGCTCAAGGTCAAGGTCTTCAAGAGCTCCGTTTTCACAATCATAAGCCCCATCAGAAAATAGCGCGAAAGCCCGAAAGGCCCACATTAAGGCTGTTTTTGCCGAGCAACGTCCAGAAGGACACCCTTACGACGAGAGACCACACACGCCCACGCTGTACAGCAAGCATCAGCAAGCGTAAACGAGCACGGTGACGCGAAGCGTGGTCCGAATGGCGCAAGGCTTCACGTTCCAAGATTCGATACTCCGGGTGTGTGTTCGCCCCTTACTGGAAGCCCTGATGGCGCGGCAGCCTCTTCCCAGATCCTGAATCTAATCGTTCGCATCACCATGCATCACCCATCGGCAGCGTCTGGGGCCTCGCACACAAGTTTCCCTGCCTGAGCCTTGGAGCGTCCAAAAGTCAAGCCGAAATCCGGTTCCGGTTAATTTGAGCGCAGACTTTCACCGAGGAACGCCGAATTTGAGCGGAGGATGGGTGGCATAGGGACCCACTTCCCTCGTTTCTGTACGCACGGGCGAACCGCTTGTTTAAGAGTGGTAAAGTATAGCTTCTCTCAGCTCTTGTCTGCTGTCGGAAAATTTATACATAGGTACATCCAAATTTTGATTTAATGTTGCAAGGCCCCGTGCCAAGTATCCGCCACACGTGCTGGTACTGCTGGGGCTGCCTTAGATTGCCTGTTCGTTTTCGTTTGTGACGCTGCCCTAGGCCCCCGGCCCGTCGCTGTAGAGTCCGCCATACGTGCCGACGGTTCTTCGTTGCCTGCTCCACACGTGAGCATGTATCGAAACCCTTAGGGCCTTAGGGTTCACTCCCACAACAAAAACATTAGCCCCAAAACGCCCAGGCGAGATGAGCTCCGTGCAACGGCCGATCGGCGGAAGCCCGTGCAGGTGCCTTGAGAGCGCAGCTTCACCTGAACCCATGCAGTCGAGCCGCAAGCTTTCGGCATTCAGGAACGAGCCGTGATCGGCCACACCAGCACCACTGGTGGCGTAACCAGCATCGCAGAGCGGCTCGCTGACATGCCACTTGGCCGCGTAGTCTGGTACAGTCATGGGTGAAAAGCGAATCCATTTTCACCCAAGACATGTTGTCATTCAGATCGGGCTGAAGGGTGAGACATGTGAGCCATTTGGTCCAAGCCACTACGCGGCCTCTGCTGTGCTCAAGAGCCATCTGCCGAGGCCAGACACATCTCATGAGCGTAGGATAAGTCTCAGAGGCGCGAGGCTTCCATTTTCAATTGCCCAGCACGATGCAAAGCTGTCAGGATGTCTCAACCGACCATGGACCACACTCCCAAGGTCAACGCCTTTCGCAGCTTCTGCATGCAGGCACAGAGGGCACCTGGGCACACCACTGTCTCTTTTGCTGGCAAAGGCAGTCGTCTTGATGCCAGGTGGTGGACCAGCTTTGTGTCGAGTTTGAGCGTGAGGTGGCACAGATGACGCAGGACTGGGCCGGCTTCAGTAAGGCAGCGTGTTCGGCGGCTTCTCAAAGTCTTAGAGGACATCACCATGTACCGTGGGGAGCTGGCCCGGTGCGCTGACCTACTGGCTTTTCAGCTGGGGAAGGAGACGACCGGCCAGCACTTGGGGTCGGGCAGTGCAGCAGCGGCAGTGCGTCGCCTTCTTGGATTTTCCTTTGTCTCTTTGTGCCAAGGAAGAGCTATCACAACATGCTGGACCCGGGGGCGTGGCACGTGCCAGTATCAGCCGCCTCGGGCAGCGCGATGCTCGAAGCTGCAGGACAACATCTGCAGCAACACCAGCGTTCTGGTTGGAAAGGCCCAGGAGTCCAGCGAGGGCATACTAAAGAGGCCTCCTTTGGCACCTGTCCTTGTGCCTTCACCAGAGGAAGTGGGGCAGAAGCACAGTGGAAATGAACCCATGAAGCAGCCGAGCGCTCAGACGAAGAACAGCTTCCAAAAAGGGATTGCTGATTCGTCCGCTCAGGCAGATGCATCAGATGCTCGAGCAGATGTTCGAAGGAGAGCCGGCTGCGAGAGAAGAGTGTGCTGCCGCGGCCAGTCTCTGCCACAGTCCGCACTAAAGTCGCAGTCGCTATTCGAGGCGGTCGCGGTGCCCTGGCCGATCATTACGGCACCCTGGACGAGCACCGCCAGCTCGCTGAGAAGCACCTCATGAGCCGCGGTTCGAGAACTTTCACCTGAGCGCACCTCACTAAGAGAGTGCAGCGCAAGCTACATGGCGACTTCTTGGAGTTCTCCTCTTGCATGGCATTTTACCAGCACGGCATGTGTTCCTTCTCAGTGGATCCTTCGAGTTCCGTCATCGAGTCGTTTATCTCGGAGATGTGTACTAAGCCTAGGGTACTATGCTCGATCTGTGGAATTCAGCCTGAGGTGTGGTTAGAATGCGTAGAAGCTTCAGACCTGCCTGTTTAGACTCTTCTCGGAGTTCATCTTCTTCATCTTGGGCAACGGACACAACTGATGTCTTTGAGGAAAGTTCTGATGCCCTTGAACTGGCCTTCCCGAGAACCGAAGCAGGCCAGAGTCGCCGTGAACCCTGGAGGAATTTTCGAATCCCAAAACTAAGACTAAGACTCTGCAACCCTGAGACCTAAGACCAGTGAGTCAGTTAACCGAGGAAAATGAGAAACGCTCGCTCGGCTCGCTCTTCTGTCCCGCAAAAAAGGAGCTCCGCCGAGCTGCAGAGTGGGGCCGCAGCTGTGCAGAAGGCACGGGAAACGCCTGAGGGTTAGAGTTGAAGCTACCACTTGTAAACCTTAGAACCGGTTTTTTTCTTTTAAAGGCCGTAGCGCCGTCCCTGCGGTCAACCACAAGCAAACGAGAATCCGCCCGAACTAGCGGCAAGAGCTTCGGGTCTCGGCCCGATGGCCGCAGAGTAGCGTCGCAGCAAAAGAAGCATCGGAAACCAGACCTTTGTATCTCAGGCCCGCAGGGCCAGGGCCTTCAGCAAGCTCATATGGACTGTCAGGTCGATTTCGACATGGCCTAGTCACAAGTGGACGCACTGGGGCTGGTTGCACTGTTCCACTCTTTGCAGGGTGGATCGTCATGCATAGCAAAGCGGATGATGCACCGAGCGGCAGGGCAGCTCAAGTGTTCCATACACTGGATCACTCTCGTTCTCGGTCTAGGTCGACGAGATGCACGGGAGATTGGCCAAGCTACAAAGATGGCTTTGGATTTGGATCCAAGCGTCGATGCTGAGCAACAGACAAGGATGGAGAGTTGCTCCAGCAATGCCACAGACTGCGACACTAGTGTTATCAACTAGTGAGAAAGCTTCTGCAAGCAGCCGAAGGTCGAAGTGGTCGATGGTCAAGGCCCCAAGGGCAAGCAAGGCCACGGTGTTCATGCTACGAGCTGAAACTCGAAGTTGGAGATGCCAAAGTCCCTTCGAATCCCTGGGCGCGACGTTCTACACGTTTTAGATCGCCAGGGTCTTCGCAAACAGTGACATGTTGAATGTGGGATGATACGAATAAAATGCACCTGCACAGAGGGTACGCAGAAGTTTGTGATGCAAACCTGGCGGTTGCGTGAACGAGGAGCATCAAGCGTGCAGGTGATGTTCCGAACGAGGCGTGCCTCGACCAGATGCTTGCCACCGCAGCTGGTTGGCTACAGGATGTGATCCATTTAAATGTCAGAACTGAAGACCGGTGTGGAGGGGCAGGCACGCAATTCTGCCAACACGTTGACATAGAAGCAACAAGTTCTGGCTTTCCCGCACACTGCCACCAAAGCAATCTGCTGATCCGAACGACGCATCCAATGGTCGTCAGCACGAAGCGCTTGTCCTGTACAGATCGCACGACCCGTGCGACCCGAAACCAAGACCTTGACTAAGGACGCACACTCCGGTTTTCTAGAGTGTGATAAAGTGATGAGGAAGTAATGTGGCGAAAGCACAGAGCACAGCAACTGCCGGATCGGATCAAGGAAACACCTGAGGTGGTGTGGGAGTGTGCGAGTGTGGTTGGTGCAAAGCCCAAGCCTAAGCCCCCGCGCCCCCGGGATGTGTTTTGGGCGACGGCGGGGAAGTGGGGAAGCACTGAAGGAGCTCGACAACATCATGCAGACCTTGCAGGCGCTGGGCACCTGTCGAATAGGGAATCCGGGTCGTGTTATGCTATGTTATGCTGTCGAGTGTGATCCGTTGTGAGGTGCCCCCAGTCTCCTACCGCGAGGCTCCCGTCATCATGGGACCGGCTTGGCTGAGCGTTCGACTGTCTATGGGACAACGGAGCATCGTAGATGCGAGGACCTTCCGCAATGCAAGGCCCAATAGGGCGGCCACCTCAAGGCGCATGAGCCGCATGAAGGTGCGTCAATTCAGCTGTCCTGAAAGCGTCCCCTGCAGGACCAAACAGGCCCTTCACGAGCTTCAACCCAAGGCTTGGCGATCTTTGCGCAAGGCGCCAAGCGACCGGCATCACACGTCTTGTTGCCTCAGGAATGCTGGTCCAGGTCCCACGCTTCAAGCCGGTGCTAATTTACCGCTACTCGAAAAGCATGCGCTGCTGCGATGGCATAGGTGTTGGCCGGTTTTGCTTCACCTGACTCTAGGAACATGCCGATGTCGATGTCGAACCCCGGCTCGCCGTATCGTTCTCCAGGCGAGCAGAGACTCGAGACTCTTGAGTGACGCAAGGCGGCTACGATAGGCCGGCTAGGGCGAGTCTTGTTGCCTTGTTGGAGGCGGCGACCGCGGCTACATGGGTCCAGGAGCTCGTCGTCGTCGTCGGGACTGTTCGGCCTGTAGAGACCGCCCACCGAGCTCCTGTCAAATGAGGAAGCAGCACACCAACCACAAAGCTAGCCCTCACTAACACCACGCAGACAGCTGGAAAGAAGCGCAGACACGCGGGACCTCGAAGGAGTGGAAAAAAGGAGGAAAGAAAGAGCGAGACGAAGAGAACGGGAGAGGAAGAGAAAGAGGAAGAGAGAAAGAAAGAAAAGGCGCAAGGTACGGACCACGAAGGCGCAGTATCAGCAGTGGTAAAGGGGCATAGGACGGACAACCAACACGAACACCAACCGTGAGACCAAAAATAATCAAGCAAAGTATTGCAAAGACTGGGCTCTGAACGTGCAACGCACAAGCCAAACAGGCACAGTGGAAGAAATGGACGCCAAAACTTAGGCGGAAATCCACCGGACGAACCAAACCGTAAAAGTCAGGGATAGACAGCAAAAGTATTTCCGAAAACGGTGCTCTGAAGCGTGCAAAGTATAGCCAAAGCGGACTCTGCAGCAGAAGTGCATGAAAAACATAGGACTGACGATCAGCAGAAGTCCAAGACCATAAAATCAAAACTAAGCAGCCAGAGTATTGCAAAAAACCGGCTCTGACCAGACCAGAATCAATCCAATAGCAGCATGAAACAGAATTGACCAGATAGACATAGGGCAGACCACCACCCGACAGGCAAACCACACTAATCATCCGAAGAATCGCAGAGGCCAGGCACAAAGCGGAGACATGTTGCTGCTGCGGTGACTGACACCATCGTCGCGTTAAAGCAATTGCGGGTATGAGCGGTTCACATGGATAAAGACTATGATGACAAGCAGTAGACCGTGGGTTAGTATCACACGTGAACAGCTCGTGTCTGAATCAGACAAGGAGACACTCGCGTGTCAAGTTTAAAAGGGCCGATATAACGCTGGAAAATCAACGGCCGTTGCGTTCGTCACGGCGATCCTTACGGTCGCGACGCGGAAGAGGAGAAGAGCGCCCACGGCCTTTGCCCTTACTGTCACCCTTGCCCTTGGTGGAAGATAGACCGTCGGCAGAAGAGGCGCGTTTCCGCTTGCGAGCCATTTCACCAGCAGATAGGGGAACCCAAACCCGAATGCAACTGCCAGCCGCGAGCGGTCCCTCTGCATTGCAAAGAGACCTGAGCGTACCACGGACCAGCTGGCATAGGCGGAAACCGGCCAAAGACGGTTTAAATCTGACATCCAAGCAAGTATGCTTGCCCCAGTCACCCCCCGAGGGGAAGACCCCCAGGATGTCTTCACGACAGGAAAAGATTTCACGCATTTCCGAACGCACCTGGCATTGCCGGGCCGCGTCAGGAATGTGAGAAAGAAGTGCATCCAAATCCTGCATCATGAGATCATATAACTCGTCTTTGATCTTCCAAAGGCCGTCTTTCTTATCGACCAGATCCATCATGCGAGAATCCAAGGCCTTCAAGCCTTCCCATCTGGTCCGGGTCGTAGCTGCCCAGTCCGACATGCTGTCTTCCAGCTTGGTCAGGCGAGATTCCACGGAGGAGGACATGACGTGGGAGTAGACGACGAAAGGGCGCAGGGGGCAAGAACCGCAAAATGGCTGCATGAGCATCAGTACACGAGCGAGCGGGACGGACGCGCGCAACGGACATGGCATGACAAGAGCAAAACAGACAGACACAAGACCATACTGTCACACACGCACGGGCCTACCTGACCCAGCGTCCTGACTACTCCAGCGTCCTCCAAACCAGGAGGAGCGAAGCATCGAGGAGCCGGACCAAGTAATCCAATCTGCCAGGGAAACAATCATATATCGGTTGATTCAACCCACTGCACATAGTGTAGAACATCAAGGCTAGCTGGCCAATTGACTTCAACTGCAAAGTAACCCATCTCATCAGCATGACTGTATGGCAAGAGGCAAGCAGCGCATCGCTCGCGAATATGGAAGGTCAGTATGGAAGAGCAATAAACTTCGGTCATGACCACGGAGCTTGTGTGGAGAGGAAGATGAACGATCAAGACGCGAGGAGAAGGGACTCAGAAGATACGACAGAACGAGGGCAACACAAGAAAGCCACCTGCCCCACGACCCACAAACCACAGCGAAGAAAGAAACCGAAGGAAGACGCCAGAAAAGGACACAACCCGGACACCACCACCTGCCCCAAGACAACCCCCACCCAACCGCAGGAAAACAGCAGGCGGCACGGAGTCGGCGTCAAGCACCCAGTGGATACCCGCCAGCTTGTCCACAGCCCCGAGGGGGACTCGCGAAGAACCGCGACCATACGGCAGCACGGTCTCCCGTCGAGCAGGACCGTACTGCCTCAATGGGACTGGCAACAGAAGAAAGAAACACCCCCCATACCAAAGTACTACTACTTCGAAGTACAAGCCTTTTCATGTGTGATACGGCTACCAAAAGTGTTGAAGGAGCGAGAACAATGAATACAGGAGAGATTGGCTGCCTCTGAGCCGCGACACTTCGCCTCGTGAGCTTCCCGAACAGAAACAGACTGGAAAACAGCGGAGCAAAGGCTACATGTTTTGTTCAAGATGGCGCTGCCACGACAAGTGGCTTCGTGCGACGCCTTGTCTCCCGTTGTGAACCTTGATAAACAAACACCACACTGCCACGAGACATATTCGTCTTTAGCTTCAGCCGGACGACGTTCACATTCCGTGCGATGTTTAAAGATAGTGGCGTCGGTGGTAGCTACTGGAAAAACCCTTTGACAGAAGGGGCAGGTACGTGTGAGCTCGTCTGTTCCGCGACAAATGCGTTCATGGGTGTTCCTGAACTCACGGGCATGGTGTGGCTGTTTGCGCCTACCGGTAGCAAACTGCCAAGGGAACTGTTTTCCGCAGCCGAGACGGCAAGTGATAAAGGGCGGGGGGACGCCAGGAACTCTGCAGTAGGCCTCATGACCAGCCAGGGAGCGAGCATGAGAGGGACCTGTGAACAACTTACCACAACGCCAACAATGATCCGTCAAAATTGCAGGGGCTTTGTCCGGGACATCGACGGGCAACAACCATCGAGGCGACATATTAGTACGTAAACCTTTGGCCCCTTGGCCTGCCAATTGATCAGCAAATTCATTGCCCGGTATGCCCGAGTGAGCTTGAACATGGATGAATTCCACCGCACGCGTAACCCGTACCTTCGAAAGAATATCTCGAACACGTACGACCAATTTCTGATTTGCCTCCGGTATTGTCGACCCGGTAACAGCCTGGAAAGCATATTGAGAATCATAAAGGACGTGAGCCGGTAGCGAAACGTCTCCTGGAGCTTCGTCTAAGAGCCAAAGAAGAGCTTCCCCTATGGCCGTAAGTTCGCCAACATTGTTAGTAGCCCGCTCCGCACCTAACCATCGCTTATCCCAGGGTTGAAGTGGGACAGGGCCGTATAACTCGCATTCCGGTGTGAGGCAATCCGAGTTTGATGTCCAAATGGCCACACCCCACCCAGCATGAGCAGCCGCCCCATGGGGACCAGACCCATCTACATAAACTTCCCAACAGGTCAACGTGTCCATGTTGAAATGAGGCCGGGATAGAGACATCTGATCATTGTCAGAATCCTGTAATGCCGTCAAGGTATGAATCTTGGCGGGACACTTATGGTTTTTGAAATCCGTCGCGTAGACGAAGACCTGTGCACAAAAAGGACAGCGTTGCTGAGCAACCGTAAGAAGAGATGCGTCGGACACCGCGTGCTGACCATCATAATGAACTTGCAAACCGCGCGCAGTGGTAGCCACATAGGTACAAGCCGGACAATGTAACGGGTCTCTTGCTGTAACCTCTGCAGTGGGAGCCGTCGAAGCTGTAGGGGGGACAAGCAGGGAGTCTCCAACTTGCCAGGAGTTCAGCAACGATTGATGCTGTCGTGACGGTTTAGCACGAGGGAGTACTGTGTCCACCAGTTTCAGCCAGTTGCTAGTTGGTTTCTGCGCTAGCCGAAACCAATCCATTTCCGGAATGCCATACTTTTGTAGTAACCATGCCACCCATTGTGGGAAAGTGTACCTTGCCGATCTGTGTGTTTCCAAACCTTGCGGCCACCCGAATAGTGCAACTTTTGGAGCCCTAGACGCAGGCATACGCGCAACATGACCTACCCACTTGAGAACTTGACGATGCAGAAGACTGGAAAAGTCATCCCAGCAAACCATGTGCCGTAGGGCGGTGTCATTGTACCTGTTTTCACTCATGTTGTAAACATCCAAACCCAAACAACGACGAATGCCCCTGGCCAAAACCTGATTCGCCTTCCTTTCCTGAGCCAAATTCCATACCCTGGTTTTGCCACAGGCCAGCAAAGTACCTTCAAGAACTGCGCGCATGACCTTCAGCTTCCTTGTGGTAGTCAGACCACCCTTAGAACCCCGACCACGGTGAGTGCCTAGCGACCACAGTTTGGCCAAACGTTTGACAGCGAAGTGCCCAGCTTGCGTCCAGGAGCTCCGAGATCACCAACAGGGCAGATGGCTTAAAGTAGCCATTGACCAGCCTTTTCTTTGGTTTCCCCGACGCAGATTCCGTCTTGAGTCTGCAAGATGCGAGCGGCGGGGAATCCAAATCAGGGAGCTGCTGCAGATCACGTGTTTGGGCGTCAAAAGACCCCCGATACTCAGTGGCTTTCTCCTTCACCCTGCACTGGCCCTGCAGATGCTGTGGCAGACTGCGGCACATGCTTCTACTAATCGGGCTAAGCCCGTTCGACGGGCCCATCCGGCCCAGCTGGAGCTCGAGGCCCAAGGCTACAGAGCTCTGAGAGCAAAAGAGGCCATGCCATCAGTTCCCGCATCGAAACAAGAACTCTGCGTGTTTGCGTTACATCCTCGGACGAGGAGTGGGAGACTTTAGGATGCAGGCCGGCGGGTCCATGCACCTAGCTCTTTTTCAGATTCAGGTTTCCCACGATTCCTGGGGACACAGTGCAGGCGCGAGCCTGCACCATGCCCTATCGTGGTCGGCGCTGTAAACCGTGGCCAGGGTGCTGTGTCGCAGCTTTTTCGGACAAATCCCAATTGCACGTCCGTGGCTCAGTGGCTCGGACTCGGTGAAGAGGCCGCGCCGCTCGAGTTTGGAAAGAGCGAAGGCGACAGCAACTCGCAGATGCATCCCTGGCTGCCCTCCTGGAGATGTCGAGCAGCACCGGCGGACCGCAGGCGAGACTTCACCTTCCACGGCCGTGAGGCGACGGGCCCCGCCCCGGTCAGGCCGTGACCAGCTTCGAGCCTGTGTGTACAGACAGCCAGCCCGAGCTGCCCGAGCAGGAAGAGGTTGGACAGTCGTCGGATTTATGGAACTTCTGAAGCACATCGTGACAGGCACTTTCGCCAACGGGAGCAGCACTAGTCCACGATGAGCTTCTAGATAGCTTGCTGGCTGAACTCCTGGTTCTGCACTCAGCGTCTAAAGGCATCGACTCATAGGAACGAGCGATCTCCTTGGGCACAGGGTCTTCCCGACGAGGAGCTGAAGACGTGCGCAGGACGCTTGGTCAGGGAATGGACTGAAATGCCGGCTTGGGTGTAGCTGTGCGTAGCTATGCGTAGCTGCAAGGTTTCAACGCTGAGATCCATTTTCTCCCGAATCGCCGAGCAGCCAGACGAGCCGCTCCCACAGCCTCGACATGCTTCCGAGCATTCAAGAGAGCGGTTCGAGCAGTGTCTGGCTTCAGGTTGAAGTTCCGACGCTTGCGCAAGCACAACCCGCGCTTTCTTGCGGAGGCTGCAGCCTTCCGAAGAGACTCGTTGAGTTGTCAGAGAGAAGGTTGGAAAACACCAGGAGGCTTTGGCGCTCATGTCGGGCCCCCGGAGCAGATAGTGGAGCCCAGCCCCCGAGTCCTCGAGCCGCAGAGCCGCAGGCTCCACGCAGGCTTCCAAGAGCAAGACGAGAGCAGCGAGGCCGGGCCGGGGACCCGCATGGACCCGCCCAGAACGCGAGGCCGCGAGAAGACAGCGAAGAGCGAACGGCGAAGGTCGTCCTCGTCCTCGGCGAGCTGACCGAGTCCTTCAAGCATGTCTGCGAGGCCTCCACGAGGCGTCGAGTCGAGCCGTCTTTGCGATTCTTTGGGGGGGCCCCAGGCCATTCGATCGGCGGCAGAGGTTGTGGCTCCGTCCTCGACCAGGACAACCTCTCTAGCAGAAACATGCAGAAACGCTGCAGCCGACAGCCTGCGACAGCCCCTGCATGCAGGCCCGACAGCCGCCCGCAGAGTGCAAGCGCACTACCAGCCCCCAGCTGCCACCAGGCACCCCTCATGTCGGGGCCCCATGAGTGAGTGAGTGAGTGAGTGAGTGAGTGTGAGAGTGTGAGTGAGTGAGTGAGTGAGTGAGTGAGTGAGTGAGTGAGTGAGTGAGTGAGTGAGTGAGTGAGTGAGTGAGTGAGTGAGTGAGTGAGTGAGTGAGTGAGTGAGTGAGTGAGTGAGTGGTGTGTGTGTGTGTGTGTGTGTGTGTGTGTGTGTGTGTGTGTGTGTGTGTGTGTGTGTGTGTGTGTGTGTGTGTGTGTGTGTGTGTGTGTGTGTGTGTGTGTGTGTGTGTGTGTGTGTGTGTGTGTGTGTGTGTGTGTGTGTGTGTGTGTGTGTGTGTGTGTGTGTGTGTGTGTGTGTGAACACCTGTTTGCCAAGGTTTGCTGATTGCATTAAGTATGCAGGGGGGCAGTGAGCCTTCTATCATCCACTGCCCAACGAAGACGGTGATAGAAGTGCTGTGAAGCAATCTGGGACGCCAGATTGTGTACCTGCATTGGAATGGCACTGGGGCCAAGCCATAAACCCCATATGTGATTTCGATTAAGGCCAGAGGTTAAGCTAAATCCTCTTGAAGTCCTACACCTCTGAATGTTCCGATTGAAATTCTTGAGAGTTTTATCAGTCCAGATGGAGGATTGCACGAGTGTGCTCTAGACGGCTTTCGTCGATCGTGTCGTCTACGGTAGGGTTGCCTACTGCCTGGCCCTGATCGGCCCAGTCAAAATCACAGGACCCTGATCGGTCCAAGCCCTGATCGGCTTAAACCCAAACCAAGACCTCTTGGTCTCAAACTCGAAAATGCTCTACGGAGCAATCATCTGTAGTTCAAGGCTTGATTGCCTAGTTGCAGACAGGACTGATGCCCTTTCGTTTCACAACAGCCGTCAGTCTGATCAAGCAATTGTTCTCCCCTGGACAACTGATTCCGCCATGGCCTCCTGGTCATCATGGTCTAACAGCGACTCCAGCAGCAGCTGGGACAACAGACAGCAATGGAATCGATGGAGCAAAGAAGACAAATGGGACTCCAAATACTCGGAGAAATCGTGGGAACATGTAGCCAGCCCCACATATCAATCTTTCTCTTTGCCGTCTTCTTTTGTTTCCGACGAGCAGCACTACGACAAGACCCGTTTGGGCAAAGGTGCCCATGTGCTGCATAAGTTGGTTCAACCGACAGAGTGGTCTCGCAAAGCTGGGTTAGCTGGCCGTGATGTCAGTGACATCCGTGCCTTTGAGCTTGCTCATCGAGGCCTTGCAGATTTCTCATTTCGGTTGCTGTCGGAAGGACGGCATCAGAGTATCGTCTGGGCTCGAAGTGGCCAAGAATCGGTACTCATTACGGCATTGTTGAAGAAGCTTCGTGAGAGTGGTGTCTCTATCGATGAGGCAGCAAAAGCTTGCCACAGCTCAGCTCCTCCAGACAAGCATAAGGAGGCAATGCGATTCATGGAACCGCTTGCTCAAGAACTTCTGAATTGTGTTCTGGCCAAAGCGCCTCCAACAAATTCGGATGCCTCTGAAGAGCTCGCCAAAGCTAAAGCCAAACTGGCTGAGCATGGCATTGCAATGTCCCCTTTGAAAAGGAAGGCAACTGAAGATCCTGAGCCAGACTCAGGAAGACGGGCAAAGCCCGCCATGCCTATTGCTGAGCCGGAATCCCAGATGGAAGCTGAACAGCTCCTTAAAGATCCACAACGAAAGCTGGATACTCGCCCCAAAGGAGCCACAGATGACCATGTCACTGAATGGCTGGCCACCTACAAGAACAAGCCAGAGTTTAAAGGCAAGTACCAGTTGCTGGTTAAGCATGTACAGACTGTTCAGAAGCTTCTCAAAACTGAAGCATCTAAAGATCAACTGGTTTCAGCTGCTAAAGAGTTTGGACTGGATCCAAAGCTGGCATCCAGACTGTCCATCAAGAATTTGTCTACTGTGATTGCTGTTGCACGATTTCAAACTGCTTGACTAGCAGCTCAATGCCAACATCTTGCTGCTTCAAGCAAACAAGGAATCAAGCAGCAAATTTGTGTGTTGGGAGAGGCTGTGACGTTCTTTTTGCACCACTGTCCGGGCTTCAACAAAGAGTCTGCACTGTGGGCCCAAGGCCTGCTTCATCTTCTGTTGCTATTTTACTTTCAAGAAGGTTCCCCGTCGTCGTATGCTGAGACTATTCGACAGAAGCTTCAGCAGTTCCGGGTACATCCCGCCACCTACACGTGGCCAAGATTTCAATCACAGAATGCGGTGTATATGAAAACAGCAGTGGACTGGCGCCATTTTTCAAGTATTGAGCACTACAGGCAGCCTTCCACATTCCCTAGGCCTTCTTTCGTAATGTATATTTCTATGACGGAAATTAAATACACGATTTACATGAGATCTACACGGATTTGGAAAAGCGCACGGATTCGAACAAAAGTGTTCGAGCTGATCTTGGTTTGGACTGGTGATGGGTTTAAGTTAGCATTATCTCGAACTTCGCTAGGCAAGCAACCAATCCCGGTATGTTCATACCCACATGAAGCCTCCACATCATGCACATCTACCTTTTCTTCGAGCGAACATCGGATCCACATCGGCCGGGCGCTTAGCGCAAGAAACGTCCAAATTGACGTTTGTAATGGACAAGTGCCTTCGAGATCGTCCTGCTTACAAGTTTGAAGGGATGGCACCGCCTCGTTATCCGACAAATTCTGCCGATATAATCCTCATCGCTCCAGCAAGACCAGCCTCTAGGACTCTAGGGTTTGTTAATGGTTCTGAATGAATATAGGCTAAGCTTTATGAATATCTAGCTAAGACCAAATTAAGGCAGGGTGCTCATTGTATTGTGGATTTTTGAGCAGTGGTCCTCCAGCGCCCATTGAATTTCCAATCTGGGACCCCACAAGCAATAGAGGTTTGATTCGATCATCCAAGGTGGTGTTTGGGGCATACCTAGAAGTAAAACGATCCATACCACTTGCATCCGAAGGCTCACCAGATGTGCTTGCATGTGCAACTTGGGCCTCAACTTAAAAAGACACCATTGTCTCTCCATGGCTTTGTGGGCCAAGAGGTCGTAGCCTTCCTCTAAGGCAGCAGGGGTACAAACAACCGTCGTGTAGTACAGTAGAAGCCAGAAAGTTGGAACATGGATTTAGGAGGATTTGTGCTAGGATCCCGTATACTTTACTTTAGGGGCATGAGGATACTAATGTTCCAACTTTCTGGCTTCTACCATAAGACCCTTGCATATGTATTTAAGGGATTATATAGGGATGGAACCAATGAGCTATTTATAACCCAGGGTCCAGCATCTTCCGCCCACTTTCCATTGCCAACTGTGCTTGGGGAGGCTCGAGGAAAACTCCTGAACCGTACAGGGTACGGAAGTAAAAGCCACAGGCCCGCAATGTCCAAGCAAGCAGCTTCAGAAGCCCAAGGTCGTCTTGGCCTTCCTAGGATGCATGGGTTGCCTGTTACATTACAAGGAAACATATAATGTATAGATTGCAACAAAAGCTATATGTATAGGGCTTATGGGTATATAGGGTTGAGATTCCAAGCTAGTAATATTTAATAGGAACGAACCTTATAAGAATGCACAACCTCCCATACAGCTACATCAACACCAACAAGAAGCCACTGCATTTGCCCTTGTGTTTGAAGTGACATCCTCTAGCCAAGCCAGCATCACGGCACAATCGTGGCCCTTGCCCAGGCCACTTGGAAATTTTTTCAGCCTGCTTAAACAGGAATATGCTATTATCACCACAATCCACACTAAACAGACAATATTATAAAATGCGAATCTACATCCATGTGACGATTTGTCGGTCTTGAGCTCCTTGAGGTCAAAACGCATAATCGATGTGCTCTTTCCAGCGGCTTGGCAGAATTCACGAAAGTGCTCATAAGCCAAATTCAGGGATCTCTCCAGAGTTCTATCCCAAAAAATTCTGAGGTGGATGAGACACAACAGTGCCCCAGCTGCTAGATCCTTCCCCCAACCATTGATGGCATACGTATGCGCAGGGTCCGGGTGTATGCACAAAGGGTTCGATCCAATTGACGACAATGATCGCAGAGGGGATACTGTCGGCTTGTACGGGCTCGGAGCCGGGTCATTCCTGCAAAGCTGTCGCACTTGGCCATTCTTGGAGAGATCATACCAATCCTAATTGATCGGTTAGGCCACGAAACTTTAACTAGCTAACCCCACAGTATGAATAAACCAAAACTTATAATGAGTATGAGTGTCTTCGGACCTACAGATATGGCACTTGCGAGTGGAAGTAAATCCTGTGGCCAAATGCATCGAAGACCGCAGCCACGGCCAGTCCCCTTTGATAGCGGTAGTGATCAAGTGGAACTGCTTCTGCTGCCCATTGAACATCACCTCTAAGCATAGATCTCCGGAATAAGGAATCAGGTTACAAAGTCAAATGAAACATTGATTTACACAACCTGGGGCTGGGGTCTAGGGTCTATGTCATGTACACATATAGTTGAAAACTTGGGCCGGCCTTATAGTACTGATTGAATCATATATGCGTATTTTAGGCTAGCAACTGTCAGACCGTTGTGGTAGAGATCTTCTAGATCGTCGGCCAATGCTTGGAGGAGGCAGTCCAATGTCTTGCTGGCAGCATACATCTCACTTGGCACACAGGTAAACAGGAATCGACTCATCATGCTATGCCTTCGATGAAATAGGAAGTTAGGAGTATGGGTTTGGGTCATGTGAAGGGTTTACTAAAACCCACCCGAAAACCAAGACAAAGTAAACTGAAACACATTTATATAATCTATCTATCTTTGTATATATATATATATATATCATACCTAGCTAGTACACACAGCCATATAGCCAAGGATCCCCGAAAGGTTGGTGACTAGGGGTCCAAAGGAACCTATGAGAGCTTGCCAGGCAATGACCATAACGGGTTTGCGGGTTTTGCCTCGTCCTTCGTCACCATGTATGCATACAGGTATGTTGACTTCTGGGCTTGCACCATTCATCTGAACCCCCGGCATCGACTGGTTGAAGTGGTGCCAAAAGTTTGCGAACATGTTGCCCCAATCATCAACTTCTTCGATGGAGTGTCCACCCAAGATTACTTCTGGGCAAGAAGTAAGCATCAATCGTAACCAGCTTGATGGAAGCAAAACTGGAAAATCGATATCTGTAAGCTTGGGTCTCCCACCACGGACTAGTCGAACAGGTGTCTTGATATATGTAACAGGAACACGTAGGCTGCGTCCTTGTTGAACAATGAGGTTGTGCAAGTTGCGGCTAGCATTCTTCTGTTTGGCACCATTTCCACAAGCTGCGATCCGACTCAGCACAGGGTCAGCAACACCTTAGCTGATCTCACATCAGTACTGACCTAAACATACAGGCATAGACAGACCACCAACAGATAGTCATACATGCAATCAAGAGACCTTGCTTGCGAAGTTTTTTCGAAGCAACCCGTGCCACCCGCACAACTCTGTCAGCACTCTCTGCCTTGGTTAGCATATGGTCAGCCATTCTCAAACCCCCGACATCTAGAGAACCCCACTCTAGCAGCATAATCCAAATAATCAAGCAAGTCACCCCTTGCTCAAAACCACGGAACAACTCGTCGGCGAGGTCATCGTCGGAGCTGCCCGTGTCAGATCCTGCAGGATCGAGATCTGTGTATTTGAGCAAGGGTGCTTAGTGCTTGGGGGTTGGCTTTCATAGTTGAGAGTTGCAGGTTGTAGGTACTTTTTGCCGGGTAGTCGTGGGGGTTGGAGAGAAATGGTATATATAGCACCGGGTTTGATTTGGCTAGGTTCACACTCAATGGCTGAGGGTTTGGGTGAAAGGACTGGGGGACAACAACGTTGTATATATTATTGGGGTCTTTAGACTAGGCCTAGGCTTAGGGTCTTAATAAGGTGGGTAGTTCAAGGCTTAAGGGCTAAGGTTCGTGAGGTATGTAGAACACACACACACACACAGGATAGGACGGGCAATATGCGTGCACTGTCCTTCCGGCTGAACCGGTTCTGTTCCTCTGGCCAGTAGACCTGCGGATTGGGAACCCCAACAGCTCAAGTAGGCGGCGTAGGAAGTGCACTTGAACATCAGCACACAATGTCTCCAGCGTATTGGTCTTTTGAGCACAGCTTTGCCACCCCGGTCGCGCTGCACTGCAGATCCACACAGCTGAAACTAGCTTAATTTAAGCCTGCGAGGCAAGATAAGGCCAAAAGCACAACAACGAATGCACAGCTACTGCATCACATTGGCACCGATGGTAGCCTACATTGAACATGCAAGTTACCATCACACTGCACACTCGTTGCCCGGCGGGCCTCAAACACACAAACTCCTAGGGTGCTGATCGCACTTCAGCAGTTGCTTGCACTCATGATCGAAGATCGAGCACAGCCAGCACATCAGCTAGCTAGACACTCACAGCCTTCTTGGCACCACCCTTGGCCGGCTTGGCCTTCGCCTTTTCGGGCTTCCCTTTCTTGCCCGGCTTCGAGAGAGCCGTTGATCTCGCCGACGATGGCGGCTTAACCGACCTCGGCTTTTCATATGTACATGTGACATGTGCACTACTAGCCACTTACTAGCTGCTGCACTTGTTATAAGCCATGATACTTTGCTCGAAGTACCAGGTTGTTAACCACCAGGTCACACTTGGTGATGTCGGCGAATAACTTGAGTAGGCTGTCGTTGAAAGCCCTGGGATTTGGACATACCGAGACATACGTGCACTAGCTATGTCCACAGTCTCAGCTCGGGCTAAGGCTTGTCAGGGTGGCAGCTAACAGCATCAGCTTGCTTCGTAGTCAGCTGCTTGAAGAAGCCCTTCAGATCTCGCAGTGCTTCAGCCACATTGTCTCGAAGCCTGAGTATCACAATGTTTGGGGTGCAGGTTCAGAGTGGAGGAATGCAATTATATTGCAGTACGTATCTACTCTTGGAGGAACAGGGCAGGACACATGTATAGCGACTTATCACAGCCACTTACGTGCATGGTGCGTGCATTAGTTTCGGGGGGGTGCAGAGCCCAAGAGTGACGATGGTATATTGCATGGAATACATAGTAGGATAACATGACGACAACGGCTTTACAATTTAGAAGTATATATTAGAAGTAGTAGGTAGCAGCAGCAGCAGTAGTGGTAGTAGCGGTAGCAGTCACACTAGAAGTAGTAGTAGTAGTAGTAGTAGTAGTAGTAGTAGTAGTAGTAGTAGTAGCAGCAGGAGTAGTAGTAGTAGTAGTAGTAGTAGTTGTAGTAGTAGTACAGCAGCAGCAGCAGGAGGAGGAGGAGTAGTAGTAGTAGTAGTTGTAGTAGAACAGCAGCAGCGGTAGCAGTAGCAGTTGCAGTAGCAGTCACAGTTGAAGAAGAAGTGGCAGTAGTGGTAGCAGAGTACTAGCAGTCGTCGTAGTAGCAGCAGTAGTAGTACTAATGCAGCAGTAGACGAAGTATTAGCAGTAGTGGTAGTGGTCGTGGACATGGCCATGCTTGTGGTGGAGGTAGTGGAAGTGGTAGGGGTGCATGGTAGGTGGTAGTACTAGTAGTAGAATATTAGGAGTAGGAGTAGGACTATGCTACGATCATATTGGATGCAGGAGACCCAGCTGCACGTGCTCCTGCCGTAGGAACCAGCTGCTCCAACCGCTCCTGCAAAAACCGCTTAACTACACAGCCCCAGCCCGTAACCCTATAGAATCCCAGCATATCTTGCAAACTCCAGTCGAAGATCCCAAAACCTTTTTTTGATTCACAATTATAAGAGCGCTCCAGAACATCAGTGCAATTGTCGACTTTCCGGCCCAATACATCGATGTAGCCCGGGAGTATCTGCAAGGGGCTCGTGTTGGCTTGCAACGATGGAAATGTGATCCTGAGTGGCGCAAGCCGAGTAGATCTTTATGAGAACAGTTAACCACATGAATCAATCGGCATAGGATTCAATAGGCAGGGCTCTTGAAACTGGCGGAAGCACTGAAAGACTCCGGGGCTTTTGTCGAGGAGGAAGAGGCAGCAGCCGTGGCTTTGCCCGCGACAAGATCTTCTGCCGAGGCATCAATGCTCGGCAGGTCGTTGGCAAACAAAAACCCACTGTTGTCATCCTGAGCAGATTGAAACTTAAGGCTTTGGGGTTCATTGTGGCAGGGTTTTGGGGCTCGATCTTAGAATACTCAAGGTCCTATCGGGGGGTTCTATAGCAAGAGTTTTTGGGGTGCGATTTCTATATTGATGTATAGCCTATCACATAGCCTACAACAGAGACAGTACAGGTATCGAAGCTCGGGAATTTGGTCCAAAGCCTAGGCTTCAGATCTTATAAAGGGCGTAGAAAGGCATCGGGGGGGGAGGTCACTCTATTAAATAATTGGGGTTAGAGAGAGCTTGCCGGTTCCATGCACAAGGCCTAAAGCCCCACAAGCTTAGGAACAAGACATCCTGCCCCAGTATCACAAAGAAAACCCCCAATAAGAGCCTTTGTAATGTGTTGTATTTCAGGACCGGCACTACCTAGTTAGCATACATATGTGTATGTATGCGGCTTCCCCAGTGTGTGGTGGTACAGCAGGCAGCAGAGACAAGGATGATAACAGCCCACACAACAAATATACTATATAGCTGTATGTGTGTACATATTAATACATATATATATATATACATATATATATATATGATAATATGTAGCTACTGGAAATATTAAGCTAGATTCATATACATGTGTGTGTACATACACATATTATTGCATGCGAGCATCGTCCAGCTCGAGGGCTCCCTGAATGGAGATCTCTTGTCCTTCCTCGTCCAACAACTGAAACTCATCCGTCAAGCATAGTCGAGCCTCCTCCTCGCCATGTATCTCATTTTTCCTTAAGTTGTTGGTCTTCGCCGCCCACTTCCATGCCGCCTCTATCATGGACCTTGTGTATCAGTCTGCAGTCTTATAAGTGTACGAACATGTATACACATCTGCATGGAGAGGTAGACCCAGCTTCAAGAACTGCCACGGGGCTTTGCCCAATGGGCGACATTGGCAAGGTACGTCTTCGTATACCAACCACCAGCCCGCTTCAACTGCTTCTTCTTCAAGTGAGTCTTCTTCAGCTGCATCTCCATTGCAGAGAAACTTCCGTGTGTCTTCAACATGTCCCGTAGCTGCTCTCCTCAATTGCAGCTATGGTCACATATACAAAACATCGGACTCAACTTGATCGAGCATGCAGGAAAGCTACTTCCACTCTCCGACTTGTAAAGATTGAGAGCATCAGGCGAACACTTCAAAGCTCCGCAGGCTTTGGGTTCAAAGTACCTGCGTAGCCTGCAACAGCTGGCATTCGATACCCGGGGCAATCTAGAATCTAGATCACCGAGCATACAGAGCAGAAGGCTTGATCCAAATCTGGCCTCCAGTAAGTGGGGCTTTTGCCACGTTTGCCAGGCTTCGGGGCAGGGGCCGGCGTGGATCTCTCGCTGAGACTTGGGCCGGGGCTCTGGGAACTCTGGGAACCCTTGGGAGGAGGGGTTGCTGTGGGCTTGACTTCTGCAGGAACTGCTAAGGCTAAGGCAGGCTTCTTCGGGCTCGGGGAGTGAGCCACACCGTCCACACCTTGCAAAGGTCGCTTGGGGCTTTTCTTGGGCGGGGGCATAGAGTTTGCAACCGGCATGTTCAGCAACTCATCCAGTTTTGGATTGGGATTCTGAGCATCTTCGACTGCGCTGTCATAGCTTTCCATGCTCAGCTCCGTCTCCCTCCTAGCGATCTTGCCAGCAGACAGGGGCACGTTGAGATTCCCAGCCAGCTGAAAAGACGAAGTCTTCCTTTCAAAGGTCAGACCTCATCATGCAAGGTGTGTATGCATGTACATACGTATACATGTAGGCATGTAGCTAGGTATGCATTTACAGATATACACACATATGCACACCATGTGGACACACACATGTATAATCAGGTTGAGACTGTATATGTATATATATATATATACATATGTATATATGTATAGTATATACATATACCATATCCATATACATACACACATACGTCACACGTGCAAACATACATGTACATAAACCCTATAGATGGTACATACATACATACATACATAAGTATACATACAGATACCTCAATACAGACATAAGCTGCATGTATCGAAACTCAAACACACATACACATAATTACACATACATATACATATACTTATATACATATATACATATATACATATATACATATATACATATATACATATAAGCCTATATACCTATATACCTATATACCTATATACATATATACATATGTACATATACATATACATATATACATATATACATATATACATATACACATATATACATATATACATATATACATATATACATATATACATATACACATATACACATATACACATATACACATATACACATATACACATATACACATATACATATACATATACATACACATACACATACATACATGGACATCCAAACCTATACCTATACATGCACATGTACACATCCACACACATATATACATATATACATATATATGTATATGCATATATATATCTTTATATATTTATAATAAATATATATGTCTGTGCGTGTTATAGCTTACTCTTTAGTCTGGCCCCCACATGTGCAAATCTGAAAACTAATGTGTATGCACACAAACCCAAATGTAGTCCCAGCTAAGGTCCTTGATCCCATCCCCACCCGATAGCCCACCTGCAGGCTTGCCGCACTCGCTCCGTGCTGCTGCCTTCTTGCTGGCGAGGCTGGCTTGGAGTGCCCCGATCCTTTCCTGGGCTGCCTTGGATGGGTTTAGGGTTCAGCCGGGCTTGGTGTTTAGGGAAGGGTGTAGGGTTTAGGGAGGGGCATTATGCACATAGCACATATACTGTACAGTGTGCTGAGATCAGGCATAAGTACTTTGATCCTGGCTTGCAAGTCACCAGCATCATGAGCCATCGCTTTTGTAGAAAGCAATGACACACCCGCTTCGAGGGTAGCACAGCTCCACTGACGAACAGGGACACTCATCCCTAGGGCACTTGATCACTAGTGCAACATCAAGCAGCAAGCAGGTAAGCTTTGCCGGTCATACACCACTTCTCTTCCTCTCCCTACATCTTTCTCTCTCTCTCTCTCTCTCTCTCTCTCTCTCTCTCTCTCTCTCTCTCTCTCTCTCTTTCCCTTTCTCTTTCTCTCTCTCTCAGCTCTCTTTCGCACAAGCCACCAGCCATTACTGCCTCTCTGGTTGTGATAGAGAGCATGTAACTCAGAGCCTGAAGACCCAAGCTGCACAAGGTCCTCGAATTAGCCCTGAGGCCACGAATTTCGGAAGCCCTGAGCCCGACCCTGCTGAACAAGAACTGTTCTGGGTTCAGAAAGGCTGTTTGGTGGGGGTCGATTCGAGAGGTTTTTGGGTTTGCGCACGGTTGCGGGGATTTGCGCACGGGTTGCGGGTATTTGCGCTCGGATTGCGGGTAAATCTGTTCGAGCAATTTTGGCAAAATCACCACCGGTCACCACCCGGCCCTTTAAACTTGAAGAAAATGCTTCCGGGCTGGTTTGGGTCTGACTGGCTGGGCCCTGGGCCCGGGACAGGCTGGGGTTGCGGTTGCGGGTTGCGGTTTCCGGCTTGGTGCTCGGGCTTGCGGTTTGTGCTTGTTTGGTGACAGGGCTGGGCTTCGACTAAAACCTTGGTTGTGGGTGAACAACACAAACGATCCCCGAAACCCGGCGTAATCCTATTCAAGTCAGAAACTCTGGGCTTCACCACAGGCTGCTGCATGCTCAGCGATGGAACCACTGCTTGTGCAGGCTCGGATCTCACTTGGCCGGGGATCGAGTAAGGGTGCAAGGCTGAGGCCAGGATATATTAGTCGTTGCGATGGTCGGGGTATCAGTAACCTATAGCTAGGAGTAGGAGTAGTAGTAGTAGTAGTACTACTACCACTACTACTACTACTACTACTACTACCACTACTACTACTACTACTACTACTACTACTACTACTACTACTACTACTACTACTACTACTACTACTACTACTACTCCTACTCCTACTCCTACTCCGACTCCGACTCCTACTCCTACTACTACTACTACTACTACTACTACTACTACTACTACTACTACTACTACTACTTCTACTACTACTATTACTACTACTACTACTACTACTACTACTACTACTACTACTACTACTACTACTACTACTACTACTACTACTACTACTACTACTACTACTACTACTACTACTACTACTACTACTACTACTACTATATACTATTACTACTACTACTATCAAACTGCTACTGTGACTAAACCCCCCACACAAAGCCCGAAACCCTACACCCTAAACCTAAACCCTATTTTAAGCTGCATCGCCCTCTGTGGGGCTTGCAAAACAAGCCTGTGCTCGCAGCCTGCGAGGTCTGCGGATCCCAGGGTTCTTCCGGCCCAGCACTGGACCCAAACCTATGTAGATATGGCCCAGGGCTCTGATCGAAGATCTCACTAATGGAGCAGTGAACTATCTAGTGGAGACCCGGAGGTTTTGCGACTAGGGTCGGACCTAATTATAGTTGGGAACAAGCTAGCTTTTTGATTTGGTTCCAGGGGTTTTATAGTTCAGAACCCGAATACATGTTTGACTTTTAACCCTGAATTAGATCGAATCTCCTAGTAGCACACCAGACCCCAAGATCATCTCTCAGTGCACAGCTGGGGCCGGTTCAACACAGGGTCCGGGGGCAGCTTCAGAAAGCTGCTGCAGCTCAGAACGAAGGCGCTCATCACCGCAAGCCTCGGATCATGCAAAGCCCAGGAGAGTAGTATATGACCCATTTGAAAGGCCAGGCACTTTCATCATGACTTCATCTTTGAAGTTCTCCATTACACCACACCAGCTGTCGGGTATCCTCAGACCATGCAATACTTAAGACTACTAGTCAAAGTCACTGCAGCATGGTTCCCTTGCTATATGCCAAAAAGCAACTTGCAATTCTTCGACCCATACAAGTACAGGAACGTCTCGTGGACCCGGGCGTCCAACCACAGATCATCCGTTTCCAAAGCAGCAAATATCTCCTTATCACTGCTGCCGAGATCTACGTGCCGGCGGCCTCGAACATCTGCTCGATCGGCAGGAGGCAACTTGCACCATTGATCGAAGGCGTACAGCAAGTTCTCACCAAAGGTCCGGGTGTAAATCCTGAGGCGTATGGTGTGGGGCCTAGATGGAGGACTAGCCATTATATAGGTTTGTACTACATACAGCCAAGGGTCCCGGAGTCCTTGAGGAGTTTTGTTTTCCCCACATACCGATGCTTCCCGGCCTTGTCAATGTACCTGCCTCAGAGCAGGCTCTTGTACTTCTGGGGTTCCGAGTGTTGTTGGGTTTGGCAGTGAGAGGACCTACGATCGTACAGATACGTGAAACATATATAGTTTTAAGAATAGCTAGGCAGGATATATATAGATCATTAATGGAGGTCTACCAACTCACACAGATCGAGAGTGTCGTAAGGTTTTGGGTTTAGGGAATCTATACAATAGTGAACACCGTGTCGCACATATGTATATACATACATATATATATATATGTATATACATATGTGCGACACGGTGTTCACTATTGCTGGGTCGATCCACACCGGGACTTGAGGAGCAGGACAATGTGTGCTATATGTTTGGTTTAGCCCTACCCCACTCCGCCAACGAAGCCCTACACGTGTACGTAATTAAAGCCTAGGCTCGGACCAATTTAGGACCTTGCAAAGCAGCTTTCTTGGCTTTGGTCATCACCCCCTTATCCAACAGCGAAATCGTAGGCATCGATGAACAAACAGTCGTTGGCTTGGGAGAGCAACAACCATGTAGGCCCATCCAGAAAGATTGCCGGTAGACCTCGCTGCTTATCAGCTGCAGTATCTGATCGATCATCCATGCACAAACCAAGCCTTCAATCCCAATTGCAGGTAGGTTTCTTTAGCAACCCGGTTGCATAACCATTGGAACCGACCATGTTGTGGTAGCAGAGATCCTTGTGGTTGTTCCAGCACCCAAGCAGCATGCCGCGACAGGATCAGAAGAATCAACAGCACACACCTTGAATCGGCATTTGGGGAGATCTAGCATAACTATATAGTACATATCCATCTAGTTAAGGTTTGGGGTTTAGGGGTTTAGGGTTTAGGGTTTCGGGTATCATGTTAAGGTCTCAAATCCTGAAGTGCAGCCAATCCTCCGTGATACTGTGCAGTTATTGTCATCAACCCATGGTAGTGATTGGCGGCCTTGAGGGTTTATGGGTGAGCGTAGGCTGGTGCCGCGGGTTGTTGTTATCCATGAACCACAGTCTGGGGCGATCAAGTTCATAGCATCGGGGAGCTCACAAAGTATCACATACATAGCAAGCCTCAGATTCCCGATGCATGCAGCACAGTCAGGAAGGCTCCGAGCTGTATAGGACATAGGAGCACAGCAGGCGCACATGTACACACGTACATATTGCAATGCATGGAACGCAAAGCCAGCATTCGATGTGAAGTCCATGGGCTGGCCGTAGAGGCGATCATACGAGGCGACGTTGTGACCGTTCTCACTCCTCACTATAGTCATGTCACATTGCATGCATATGTGGGAGCTACAGGCACAACAGCTTGTCGTGTCTATGTAAGGCCAGCAGCCAGACCTGGGACACGTGGCCGACCCCAGAAAACACTTCGAACAATGAATATCGTTCTGTAAAATCCAGATTGCTCATCCACTTCAGGCAGAGCACCTGGGTGAGGCACACATATAGCAGACAGTAAACCGACGACTAATGCAATGCCAGAGAATCTGACCGTGGCAATGAACACCTCAGATGTAACAGCAGACAGCTATCTCATGGTATGTAGTTGTGCACATGGACAGCTGCATAAGTAGTTAAGTGGCCTTTGGGGCATTCAGCTGGGCCAGGTTCACAACCACGGAAAAGTTTTCCATGGCAAAACCGAATACCCCAGCTAGCTGCTGCTAGCTCCCGGCTCGAACAAAGTCCCAGAGAAGGCAACAGGCACAACGGTACAACCCATCAGAATGCTGCAGGCAACACCAACAACAGCTCTGCAGTGGCGGAGGTGGTGCACCAGCAACGGAGGCTCGGACTGCCCAGCCTTCACTCATCGGTCCTTCCAAGCAGTTGCTGACACATGTGCATAGGATTGTCAGAGGCATTTGCACAGTGCCATAGGGACACGTCATGAAGTTGCAATGCAGTCAGCCCTTTCATTGATGCTCGTGTGGACTCGATCTGATGCTCATGATCCTGAGGATCTTCGCTGGAACAGAAAACCCCATTTGCAGGAATTAAAAACCTGCCCCCAGGGGACTGATGTCAGTCACCCGCATATGATCAGCATGATTTGAGGACCTTGCCTCGCACACTGAAACCCAAGAACACCTGGTCACTGGGAGCCGATCAAAATCCAGGCGATCATAATCCGGACACGTCGGCTAGTCGGTCTCCGCGTAAGCCTCAGATGCCAATAGCATGGTGATAGTATATAATACTATAGGCTTGGGCTTTCGGGTTATAATGCATTATAAGGCATAAAGCTTATCACCCCACCCCCCACCCCACCCCGCCCCCACTCCCACCACACTATAATTAACTATTGTTGATGTAGACTAGGAGCCTGCTTCCCTGCTTGTTTGCATTCCTCCTCTGTCATTCCATCTTCTTTGGCTTGCTTCACAGCACGATGATATGCCACAGACTTGCGTGACTTCTGTGCCTTCTTTTCAGCCTCAGCATCATCTGTGGTGTTGTTCGGCTTGCTAGCAGCTCGTTTTGCAGATGCTTTGACCTTGGCTTTGGCTTTGGGACCTGCTTTCGGCACTGGATCCTTTCGTCTGCCCTTGTTGGCTGGGAGGCTGGGGGGATTCACTTCCGGTGCTGGATCCTCGGCTTTGCGTTTGTTCGCTGGGCGGCTGGGGGGATTCACTTCTGGCGCTGCATCCTCCACTCTGCATTTGTTGCTGGGGCCACTGGGGGGATTCGCTTTCGGTGCTGCATCCTCGGCTTTGCGTTTGTTGCTGGGGCCACGGGGATTCACTTTGGGTGCTGGGTCCTTCGAGCGCTTGCTCTTGGGTGCCGCCTTAGCCTTTGGCGTGCTCGCCGACCTCTTTGGGGCCGCCTTGGCCTTAGGCCGCCCCCCCTTAGAACCAGCCCTCGGAGGCTCAGTCTCTTCCTCGCAATCACTCTCATCTTCTTCTTCATCCACTTCGTCCGAAGCCCGACCTCGGCCACCTCGGCCTTTGCCCTTTCCACTGCTTCGACCCCTGCCCCTGCCCTTCGAGCCTTTGCGTCCGCGTCCACGGCCGCGACCACGTCCAGGACCATCTCCACGAGCACCCACAGCCAGTCTCTGCTCTGCGGGTGTTGCGGGCTTGTGATCACTTTCAATCGGGCAGGGAGGCAGGTGTCTGTCGTAAAAGACAGTGGCTTTGCTGGGGCTTGCGAGCTTTGTATCCTCCTCCTGGCCCTCATGAGCCTTTTTACTTTGCAGCTTCCCTTCTGAATTGACATCGATCAACACATCATCTTCGGGGAGCTCTTCCTCCCCTTCTTCAGCATCAGACAATGGTTCGATTCTGAGCGACACACTAGTAGGCTGCACAACCTCTGCACTCTCTGCCTGCGGTGCCTCTGGACCCTTTGTCACTAAAGGTACCTCGAGCCTCTTGCATGTCCCCAACAACTCCTCAGACTCGTTTTCCAAAGTTGCCGGAGGCTTCTCGTAGAACAGTGGCTCCTCAGGCACCGTGTCGAGGAGATCGGGGCCTCAAAGGCGCAGTCCAATCAAGCTCTCAACTAACTCCCGTATCGCTGTAGAATTACAACATGCATACACATGTAGTTGCAACTAAGAAGCAAATCCCAGTGCTGGGCATGCTGATCACGGGTGGCACCACTTTGGCTTCATCGGGCTCTGCTTGGGATGGCTTCACGATTGCTGGGCCAGGCACTTCCACTTCATTCTTTGGGGCCACGGAGACTTCATCAGGGTCTGCTTGGGATGGCTTCACGATTGCTGCGGGGGGGCACTTCCACTTCATTCTTTGGGGCCACATCAGGGTCTGCTTGGGATGGCTCCACGATTGCTGAGGGGGGCATCTCCAGTTCATTCTTTGGGTCAAAGAAGACTTCATGAGGCTCTGCTTTGGTTGGCTCCATGATTGCAGGAGGGGCCTCTGAAGCCGCAGCAAGTCTTGCTTCAAAGCTGGATGCTGGGATGGCTTGGCAGTCGGTTGGCTTTGCGGTGTTTGATGCTGGAGCTTCTGCTGCATGAAAAATTGTATCATCAGCTGGCCTACTGCGTTTGCGATTCAGCTCAGCTTCCTCAGCCTCCAACTCAGACCTTCTTAAAGCAGCCTGTAGCTGCTCCTCTTCCTCCTGCAAAGCTCTTTCGAAATCCTCGAGTTCCTGCAATTTCAAAAGCTCCTCCAACTTAGCCTGTTGCTTCTGCAAAAATGCTAACTCCTCCATCATTGAAGCCTGCTTGGGGGTCACCTCTGATAAGGCTTCGGTCGGGCTAGGGCGGGGAGATCCTGAGCCAGAGGCCTTGCTGGACTTCGAAGCTTTTTCAAGGTGCTCATCCAATGGCTTCAGATCCGGGAGTGGGAAGCATTTCTTGGCTCTGAGAATCCCGGGTTCCTTTGCATTGTTTCCGCAAAGGACACACAAGTATCCATAGGCACGATCCTGTACCAAATAATGCTCCCTGCGCTGCTTTGCCTGGCTTCTCGGGCTCAGCGGTTCTTTACCTTAGAAGAAACATATAGGCATGGGGTTTGGGTTGCAACGGTCGATCAATGTTCATGATGCAACGAACGGAATATACCCTGGTCACATCCCAGAATCAAACCCCATGCACGAGCTATCTTATCGATTGCCACCTGGGTGCGAGGAGGCGGTGTCACGATCGCCGGAGATGAAGACGATGCTGCGGAGCCTGTGCAAGCAGTCGTTTAGGGTTCGGGGTTAAACAAGCTAGGGGGGTTTAGGGCTGAGGGCTTATAAAAATTCGCGAAATCAAGATCGAATATCAGTTCAAGCAGGTCACGGGGCTTGGTGACGGCTGGCGGTAGCGGATTCATATCGAGACTTAAACCAGCCTCGGCAGTGATCATGCATCCAGACTGATAATCACACTCAGTTGAAGACCGCAAAAGCGCACCAGGATGGATGATACTTGCAGGCATGGTTCCAAAGACACAACGGGCTTCGGAGGATTCGTGGCTTCAGTGGTCGGCACCACCTCATCAGTGATTGCCTTAGCGATGATAGCTAGTACTAGTCCACACCTTCAATAGGCACAGGGTGTAGATATGCTTCAAGCAAGAGTCTTCGGCCGTAGGTCTCGAGGGTTCCACTTCGGCACCCTTGTCGGGCATCTCCACCTCATACAATCACAGGCAACATATACAAACAGGGTACAGGAAAAAATGCATGGACCCACCAAACTCGCTGAGGGACTTCCATAGGCACAGGATTTGCGGAGCTCGAGGCATTACCAGTAACAGGCTCCTCCTCTACCTCAATCTCAGCATCATCTTCCATTTCAGCTTCGGACTCAGCAGCTTCATCATCAGACACGCTGTCATTCTCATCATCATCTGCGGCTGCTGAGCCACCTCAGCTCATGTTCCACACAAGGGATCACCTCGACTGTGACCTGATATTGCGAGCAAAGTGGCGGGATGATGGGATGGGAATTCCGGAGTACTTGAACAGTCGGCGAACCCCTTCTTGTCGCGGCTCATGTGGCCGTTTCGCGAGCTGGGAAAAGCATGTGATCAAACGTCTCGCCATCCATGCTTGAACCTGGATTTCATGGCCTTGGGTGGGCACACAACATGTAACGACACTCCCGAAACCCTGTAACAGATGTTGCTTGATAGGCTGGATGTAAGTTGGCTGCTCGTTGGCATGCGAAGATTCATAGGTCTGTAGCCAAGGTAAAACCGCTTGAAATACTCCGCAAGCACGTGGGCGGACATTCTCAGGCCTTCGATCACAAGAGTCACACACAGCCCAGTACAGAGTCTGAAGCACAACAGTGCAATGACATATAGTTAGCCAAGAATCCCACATTCTTTATCAGTGGCCCGAGAAGCTCGACGTTCTCGGCAAGATGATCTCGCTTGATTTTCTTGGTGTCTGGGGGCAAATGCACCAAACAGCCCTGCATCAAACGGTTCATCACAGTTTTGCTCTTCTCCCATGCTGATAGCACATCACAGGGCTTCACTTCAGGCTCCGCGGCTTGGTCGGCCATGGTATTCAGGTCAACTAGCTTTCAGCACTCGGATCTAGATCGATCAGACCAATAGATCGAGAGGAGAGGCGATGTGAATGTAAAACGATCGAGAATGCCTAGAGCTGAGTAGTGATTCAATTAAGCAAGGCTGCTGCCATACAGATACGTGTGTAGCTGCACAAGCATCCTGCTGAGTTCAAGGTTCAACCAGTGACACCTTGAGCACACATATGTGTTGATCGCATTCAGTCAAATGTAAGCAACTTGCAAGGTTCAAGATCAGAGCATGTCGATGCAAGGCTTGCAGTCCTTCTCGTAATTATCCTCGAAAAATGGCAGCCCATGGTGCAACGTACCTGTTGGTCGCCCAAGGAGAACTATAACCACTTCTACCTCTACACGGCGACCACTACGAATGCACACACACACACACACACACACACAGGGGGAGGGCGCACTTTGCGGTCGCCGACAGGATCATATACATGTATATGTTCGGTATCGAGCCAAGAAGTGCTGTAGTCAGGTCCCCAACACTCTCCAAGTGATATTGCGACCCTGCAAGAGCCCTAAAATCGAAAAGCGCACGGATTAACACAAAAGTACCCGATCTTATAAAACCCTACGTTTTCCAGGATAAGTATAGCAAACCCTGGCCGAGAGGAAATAAGTATGACGTTTGAAGGGCCAGGTCATGTACATAGGCTCCACCAGCCAATCAGTTTTTCGAAGAGAGTCTAACAGATTCTCAGTTGCCAGGAAGCTGGCAAGCGGAGGTGAAGCTCAGGCCGAGTTAGCCATCCGATACTGGGTGTCCAATCAGCGTCTTGAGCAGTACACGTTGTTTCTCGTTTCTCCGTGCTCAACATACAAGGAAGCATGGGTAACTGAGCACTGCTTAATTGGGATGTGGCAGCCTAAACTGAATCACCCGTACATTACCTCCTTTTTGAAAAGGAGTGCATTGGGCTTTAGACCCAACAAGAGAGTCCGACATAGCGTGTCTTCTAGGTTCGGGTTAAGGCTGTGGAGAAAACTGAGAAAGAAACTCCACAGACAACTTCAGCCCGTTCCTTTCCAGCTCAAGAGAAGGTCGGCATGGGAGATATTATTCAATCTTACATGCTTCAGCCGTGCCCCCTTTGAAGAGGCAAAAAAGCTGCGAAGCGACCGATACCTTCCGGATGAGATTTACTCTCTGATTCGGTTGAGCAATTGCCTGGAAGAGCCTGGCAAAAGTAAGGCCAGGAAGGTGCTCCGAGGTGTCTGTCAATTTCGCAATATGTCTTGGCCCTCGGCTACCCTGGGCTTGCAGTTGAAATTCACTGCATCCCCAAGCTTCGGGTCAGATGTCTCCAGATGGATCCGAAAGCTTGTATTGGCACACAAGCCGATTCTTATACCTTTTCATTTACCAGTGTGCAAAGTCAGAGAGCAACCTCATCAGTCTCTCAAGGACTTTATACACAACTTCAAAGACTGGGACCAATGGTTACAGAATCATTCTGTTGCTGATGCACCGTGCCCTTGCCGTTACTATACTAAACTGCTGCCAGAACAGTGCCTCACTCGAGGCCATGTTGTAGCAGGTATAGAACAACTAGGCAGCCTTCACCGCTCCTTTGAGAAACTAGTGCATCTTCAGCGTTTTTTCCTTCCAAAGGAGAATTTTTCAATCACAACACCCGTATGTTTGTGTCTTGGCGGCGCAAGCATTGTCTTCCCAAGGGTGTGGATCGAACTTTTCAGCAATTTCTCGAGCAACAATGGAGCAAACACCTCGATCACCTGAGTCAAGAAAGTCGGCTCACGTGGAGAGATGTCTCTGCTGCTCGCGACTTACTGCATCGACAGTTCATTGTGCATTGCGAAGACCATGAACCGAATCATCTTATGGTCTTCTGTCCCAAATTCTATCTTCAAGCTGCTATGAAGACCTGGCAGGATCCAGATGTTTTCGAGCCTGTGGAAGGCTCCCAAGAACTCTGGAACCAGCAAGTTTTCCAACAGATTCCCGGCACACTGAAAAGAAGATATCGCTGGGGAATCAATGCTTCTGGCACCTTACCAGTGGGGTTTGTCTTTCTCAAACGAAAGAAAGAATTTTTGAAAGGGAGGACGATAATATCGTACTCCAACAGCTGTATCAAGAAGCTGTTGATTGCAGCTGCGCAAGCGATTCTTTTGATGGTTCGCTTGGTCTGGCCTGAAGCCATGGGCCTAGCCACCACTCCCCAACTTTGGAAGAAGCTGCATCAGTTTCTTCGTCGCACCCCTCCTACGGTGCATCTCGCTGAAATTAATGATGACCTAGTGGGATTTTTCAACTCTGTGCCTAGACAGCAAATCCTGGATTCTTTGTCAATGCTTGTACAGCTGTATCAAGACCAGGAGTACCCTCCACAGATTACGGTATCCCTGAAAAAGCAACCCAATTGTGAGTCTGCTTGGCCAGGTAAACCAATGGCAAAGGGAGCCAAACACATAAGATTTCTTCATGTTTCCGACCTGACTGCTATTGTACAGACCTCTTTTCAAGCAGGAGTGTTCACCACTCGTGGCCTGTTGTTCAGGCAACACCGGGGCACATGTATAGGCAATCAAATCAGCCCGGTCCTCAGCAGTCTTCCAGTGATTCAAAGAGAATCCTGTTGGCAAAGAGAATGGCATCAGTTCCTGAATTCAGCTAGGTTTTTTGACAACCAAGCATCGGAACTGTTTGTCTGCAGGTATGTTGATAATCGACTTGTTGTGTGCGACGAGAACTTTCTATCGCATCAATGCATGAAAGATTTTCAACACCTCTCTTTTTATGGAGGAACTATCCAGCTGGAAGAAGTTACGAACCATCAATTTCTGGGCTTCCGGCTCAACATGGCCAACAGAACAGTGACCTACCTGCAACCAGACAAAGCATGGTCCATCCGAAACCCAAGATCTGCAGGAAGTTGGTCCACTCGAATTTCAGGCTATTTATCTCGGAAAGCTTTGATTGTACAGTATGCATGGCCTCCGAGCAGTCGCAAACATCAACTGCAGGGACTCCGCCAATTGTACATAGATCGAGGCTTCCCTGCAGAAATGCTGACCTGAAAGTGTCAAAATTCCGATTTCTGTGTTCAGTGCGAAGTGTCTGTAAAGTTTGGTGTGCACATCCATCCCCAATACCGCGAGCTGGGCTCGTGGCGACTCTCATAGTCAGTCCCTTGTGTGCCCCTGCCATGGCATCGTACGTGTTTCAATTCTTCTGCGGTGAATCCCAAGGATCCAACCCGCAGACACGTGTTCTGGCACTACCGTCTTCAGTTGAGGAACCACATCCTCAACCACGGCCGAGACCGGCCCGGTCGCATCGGGCACACAATGCTTCCAGATCGCCCTCAAGGCGTCGTGAAGCAATTTCCCGCTCACGGAGGCCACGGCGAAGCCGAACGCCCAGAAGGAACAGGCCACAGAGGGATGCACCAATGTATCCACCAGGCAATTGGCGAGCCCCAACACCTTGGGTTCCTCCACCAAGGCCAGTCATGCCGCCACCTTCTGCACCACCGCCTCCCCTTTATGCTCCCCCGGGGAATGTGTCAGCATATTGGTTTCCACCACCGCCGCCTTTGCCACCATCTTTTGGTACACCTTTTGCGGCTCCAGATCTGAGGCGACCGGCTGTGCCTCTTACACCGCCGAGGCTAGCCAGGCCCAACAAAGCACCGGAACCGGTGGTACCCCAGGCAAGGGCCCCAGCTGATCTTCCTGGCCCGGGCCAGCAGGTAAAGCCGGCCAAGAAAGGGTCAACAGCCTCCAATCAACTGGCTCCATCGGATAGCCAGCAACAGATTGATGATCAATTTTTTCGGGGCCTCATGTCTGCCAATATCAATGATGTGGAGGACCAGCTGGAAGTCCAGCTGCCGGGATTTTCAGCAGTGGATCACATTCCGGGTGGGATGACCACCCTGAGTCAATACCTCTTTTACCGTCAGCAACTTTTGACTGCACCGTTCCCGGACCAATGGGTCATGGCACCCTGGCAAGCACTGCGAAGCAATGCAGCCCGGGCGGCACTGGTTCGCAAGTACCAGCGCCCTTTCGCGTCTCTCAAAGACCCTGAGAGACGGAGATGTGCTCGGTTTTTGCTCAGTTTGTTTCCAGAGCCGGTGCCACCGAATACTATAGGCACAGAAGAATTTTTCGGCTTCGTGGACTGCATTTTGCAGTCCAGACTCCACTATGAGAGGCACTTCGAAGAAGGTGCCTCACTGTTTCATGATGTGGAAGAAAATGTAGTTGGATATCGGTTTCGGTGTACAGGCTTTCCCGGCCCACCCCTGGCCCAGCAAAACTGGCATCTTTGGGCACATGCCACTACGAGGGAAGGGGTCACGGGAATTTTGGCTACAGGCAAGATCCTACCCACGGATCACAGTGTAGCCGGCCTGGAACCTCAAGAGGATACGTTTTCCTTCTATGGCAGAAGTACAACAAACCCCAACTGGGGTGCAGGAGTTGTACAGCTCGCCTGCAAGTGTTACCACTCAACTAAGAACTGTTCTGGAGTGGTTTTTGCAGGCCTATTGCCCAGCAACCACATCAAGGGCAAGAATGCATGCACCAGATATGAGAACAATCTGGCGAGATTTCATGCTTTGGTCCACAGCTGTTCCTCGGACAGACGGTGGGCAATTCGGTTCGCGGCAGCTCGCATTGACTTTATCTTTGTTCTTTCAGAACGAAGCAAAGCTGACTACCCTCAGCATGAGAGCCGACAGCGCCGTAAAACTAGAACCAAAGCTGTCGGCAACGAGCCTACTTTGGCTCTAGCAGGTGGCCCTCCAGACGACACCTGGGGCCCATGGGGTACTCCGACAGCCCCTAAGATCGAGCTGCCAGAGGTAGAGGGTCCTGAGGAAGAGAACCTCATGGCAGCAGCGGCAGCTTTTTCAAATGCTTCGGCTGCAAGCTGATTTAATTTGTAAAGCAAGAAAAGAATTTGCATGCTGACTGTGTGCATTGCGCAATGTTGCAATATCCTGCATATGCAAACCTATGTCAGGATAAATCATCCAATGTGAAAGTTTTTGGCTCCTATGCTGCCCGTTGT